TAACGAAAAAAAAAAAAAAAAAAAAAGTGGGGGGGTGATTGTGTATGTGTTGGTGGGTGAAATGAATTAGTGAGGATTCCATAGAAGTGTTCAGGCATGCGGTGGGTCTATTTGTATGTCTACAAGTGTGTTTGGGAGAAGTGTGTGTGTGTGTGTGTGTGTGTGATGTTAGTCACCTGTCTTTTCTTATAGAAGCCTCTTCTGTCACAGTTGGGTATGCGGAAGCCTCTCGGGTTGAGCACGTTGCTGATTTTCAGACTATTTAGGATGCTTTCCATCTCCCGACGACACGGGCCCTGCGCAGACATGACAAACATGTTGAAGAAGCATTTGGCTGCCACGCTGCACGCGCACGCAATCGGCCGCCAATGGAGGTGTCGTCAAAGCATTTTTCCAAATCATCTTCGCCAAAATCTCGTACTCGCGCCGTACATTCTTTTCGTCAAATTCTCATCTGTAATAAATAATAGAGATGCTGTGAGCATTTTCTTGTCACCAAACCCCTCACGAAATAGTTGATGATACCATGATCGTTGACTTCTTGATATGGTCGCTCAGTCATAACGGCCCTCCAAGGGAGACGCGACAAACATGACTTTGACACCCCGCTGCTGTAAATGCTTTAAAATGCCGGGCTTCTAATCACAGTACTGTGAAGCACATTGAGTTAGCTCGCGCATGAAACTGCCCTTGCCTGTATTTCAGCACAAGGCCATGCGCCGACATCTACGGTGCTGGTATAAAAATGGCAGCAAGTACAGAACGGCATGCCCTTCGAATCTTAAATCAAAGGAATTGCTGACATCTTCACTCCAAACTGATGCGGCAATAACGCTGGAGGCTGAAGCTCCACAGTTTCAGACACGTTGCCCTGTCATCTGCTTGTATAAAATGAAACCACTCTCAATCTTGAACCACAACTTCATTACTTCAAGTACACAAGAAGATGAAAAGCGCATCTTTTTTTTTTTTTTCTTTCAGACATCTCATTGGCCTTGACTTACATACTCAGACTCCCTTTTGTTCTCCAGGGAGAAGTTCTGCATGTCCGCATTGGCTCCCTCTGACACCGACGCCACCTTGTAGCTGTGAGTCTTCTTGTTCTGATCTTTCCTTATCAGCTTGTTGTGTAACGGAGGCCTGGTGTCCATCACGCCTCCACTCTGACCGCCTTTGACAGTCGACAAAGGCGGCGACGCGCTCATTGTCGCCGTCTTGTTGGCGAGGCCTTCCTCGACCCCATTTCGCCCGCGGTCTGCATGAGGACAGTAACAAAGGGGTTATCACAAATGGAGCAACTGTACTCGACTAGCACAGAATGCCGGGAAGAATGTAGGAAAGGCTGCTTTCATTTCAGCATGCTTGAATGGCCGTTTGCTAATCCGACCGTGTGTTAGCAGGACACCTTGCGGTCCAGGAAGGAGGACCGAAGACAATCAAACAGGTTTCGGGTTCCGAGCGAAGCCCGCATGAAGCGCACAAGAAACCGAGCCAGGCTTTCACGTGACCACACAATTTTGGGCTCCACCTCTGCCAAGCGCACAGATCAGTGCGATAGATGTGTATCCGTGCCCGCCTCAACCACTTTGATTCAAACTTAAATACTAGTAACACGTCTCGTAGTTTCCGGGCGGGGGAAAAAAAAAAAAAAAAACGCTGGCTTTAGCCGTCAAACCTGACAGAGTCTGATTGTTTTGATTAAGATGGCTGTTACTTTTGGAATTCTGCGTACCATCACAACTTATTTTTTTTTCCCGGTCATAGTCCGCCGATGTGCGCGCATGGACTCACGCGTACGCCGAAGCCCACACGTGCGCGTACATTTTTAAAGGTCAAGTTATTAACAAGTAAGCGTGAACCCCTGTGACAGGACGAGATCATCTTTGACAGATCCAAGGCGACTCCAATGGCAAAGAGTCATGTCAAGTCATTTTCCGTTGTAGAGCACCAATTCGGGGCACGTTCCGTCTCTCAAAGAAGGAAACCAACGGAAGCAAATATCGGGTGGCACTTTGATGATGGAGACAAGGAAAAAAAAAAAAAAACCCTCTCATGAAGAAACCTCAAACGGAACACAAAGTGTGAGACAGCTGTCTGCCTTGACTTTTTGGGGCCAGGTGAAGAGGGACGCGGGGCAGGAAAGAGCAAAAAGAACAAGCACGGCCAGATGAGAAACGAATACGCGTCTTCATTCGAATCACGTTATCTTGATGAGCAGGAATGGAGGAGGTACTGCTTGAACGTGACACTTCATGGGAAGTCAATCGTCATTGATTACTGCTCAGAGAAGTCGAACGGATGAACATCGTAATGCAGAGATGGGCAACTTCAATGTTGGAGGTGGCCACAATACGGAGCGCAAAATCTTGCATGTCTTCATTTGCAAGTCTCGTTGACCGCGTTTGGCATTTTGGCAAAATGCGCTGCGCATGAGTGTGTTTTCTATGATATGCGACCGGCACAGCTGACAGTTTGGTGACCGAAAGTAGACTACACATTCTCAATCTTGAACCACAACTTCATTACTTCAAGTACACAAGAAGATGAAAAGCGCATCTTTTTTTTTTTTTTCTTTCAGACATCTCATTGGCCTTGACTTACATACTCAGACTCCCTTTTGTTCTCCAGGGAGAAGTTCTGCATGTCCGCATTGGCTCCCTCTGACACCGACGCCACCTTGTAGCTGTGAGTCTTCTTGTTCTGATCTTTCCTTATCAGCTTGTTGTGTAACGGAGGCCTGGTGTCCATCACGCCTCCACTCTGACCGCCTTTGACAGTCGACAAAGGCGGCGACGCGCTCATTGTCGCCGTCTTGTTGGCGAGGCCTTCCTCGACCCCATTTCGCCCGCGGTCTGCATGAGGACAGTAACAAAGGGGTTATCACAAATGGAGCAACTGTACTCGACTAGCACAGAATGCCGGGAAGAATGTAGGAAAGGCTGCTTTCATTTCAGCATGCTTGAATGGCCGTTTGCTAATCCGACCGTGTGTTAGCAGGACACCTTGCGGTCCAGGAAGGAGGACCGAAGACAATCAAACAGGTTTCGGGTTCCGAGCGAAGCCCGCATGAAGCGCACAAGAAACCGAGCCAGGCTTTCACGTGACCACACAATTTTGGGCTCCACCTCTGCCAAGCGCACAGATCAGTGCGATAGATGTGTATCCGTGCCCGCCTCAACCACTTTGATTCAAACTTAAATACTAGTAACACGTCTCGTAGTTTCCGGGCGGGGGAAAAAAAAAAAAAAAAACGCTGGCTTTAGCCGTCAAACCTGACAGAGTCTGATTGTTTTGATTAAGATGGCTGTTACTTTTGGAATTCTGCGTACCATCACAACTTATTTTTTTTTCCCGGTCATAGTCCGCCGATGTGCGCGCATGGACTCACGCGTACGCCGAAGCCCACACGTGCGCGTACATTTTTAAAGGTCAAGTTATTAACAAGTAAGCGTGAACCCCTGTGACAGGACGAGATCATCTTTGACAGATCCAAGGCGACTCCAATGGCAAAGAGTCATGTCAAGTCATTTTCCGTTGTAGAGCACCAATTCGGGGCACGTTCCGTCTCTCAAAGAAGGAAACCAACGGAAGCAAATATCGGGTGGCACTTTGATGATGGAGACAAGGAAAAAAAAAAAAAAAACACCCTCTCATGAAGAAACCTCAAACGGAACACAAAGTGTGAGACAGCTGTCTGCCTTGACTTTTTGGGGCCAGGTGAAGAGGGACGCGGGGCAGGAAAGAGCAAAAAGAACAAGCACGGCCAGATGAGAAACGAATACGCGTCTTCATTCGAATCACGTTATCTTGATGAGCAGGAATGGAGGAGGTACTGCTTGAACGTGACACTTCATGGGAAGTCAATCGTCATTGATTACTGCTCAGAGAAGTCGAACGGATGAACATCGTAATGCAGAGATGGGCAACTTCAATGTTGGAGGTGGCCACAATACGGAGCGCAAAATCTTGCATGTCTTCATTTGCAAGTCTCGTTGACCGCGTTTGGCATTTTGGCAAAATGCGCTGCGCATGAGTGTGTTTTCTATGATATGCGACCGGCACAGCTGACAGTTTGGTGACCGAAAGTAGACTACACATTAGAAACAGCAAAAAGCAAGTCTAAGTTGTGGTGCAGGTGGTGTAACACGAGTTTGGGGGATTTGGTTGAAGTACAGGCAGAAATATTCTGAGCTCCGCGGAACTGCGTGATGGACGTCATCGTATTTCATTCACATGACAACAGCGTGCGTCAAACCCTTGGCATCATGATTGGAATCGATTCATGAGACGCATTATTATGATCATCTTTCATATATTTTTAAAACCACCCCCTTTGCAGCACAACTATTTGGCGGTTGGGACGCACGGAAGTGGCCACTTTACACCATCCGCAAATGGAGATCTTGCAGTTCCTTTCAAGTGTACTTGCTCTGCCTATTTAGTCAAAGATGAGGGTGCGCATGAGATAACATGAAGCAGATATTTCGATGGTTGTGGCTTTGCTCTCAAATCACCAAAGACAAAGTTTGGCTGAAGTCGTTTGACTGGCAAGAACAAAAGGAAGATGGCGCGAGCGCTATTCATCGATATAAAAAGCAACTCAAATTCCCACCACGTCCAAGGTGGGTGGACGCATCACAGTTGGAGGTTCTGACCAAGCTTCTATAGATGCAGAGCAATGACGGGAACGCACATGCAGTGGCGCGCACACGCGGACACGTCGAATCAAAGCAGAGCCCGTCTCGACTGTGGGAATGGCGGCAGAGGAGCATGGAAGAGGCGTCGCTCATTTGGGCATCCCCGTCTGACCACTTGATCAATTTTATAATGGGGGGGGGGGGGCTGGGTGACTGCATAATCTCTCCCAGGCTGACTCCGAAAAAACAATGCAGGATGTCATCAAGTGTCGGGGTGCTACCATCCTCTGTCTCAAAATAGAAAGGAATATTCTTCCAAATACTTCTGAGAATGCACTATGTTCAACATCTTCCACGATGTTACTTCGAGAATGACAAATGGATGCTTTGTGATGACTCTTAACAGATGTCACCATCTGTTTATGTCATGGCACGCTCGACTGTCTTCAGAAGTCAGCACTGAAAATTGGGACTGATAGCAATGACATGCAGTGCGCTGCGGGAACAATTTGAGGTGCCTGTCGTTGCCCTTCTTGTCACGAGCAGTGGAGAGGAGGTAGATTACAGGTTAAAAAAAAAAGAGAGAAAAAAGCCTCAACACATGCATCTGTTTTCGTGCTATTTGTTTTCTTGCAAAAGCACATTGTAAACAACTCGCACAGAAGCAGAGACCAAGTTTGGGGGCAAATCGAAGCCCACTTGGGGGTGTTGTGCAAGTGTGAAAGCACACTGGTGGCTGGCTGCATGGACCGATGTGTTTGTGTGACAATTTGGCTGCCGGGTGAAAGATTCGCTGCAGCCAAAGCCAAGAACCGAAGAGAAGAAAAAGCACACAGAGATTTGGCTTCCTGACGTCAGCAGCGCCTAAACACACAACTGTGTGTATTCACACACCGGTGGCATGTGTGCCATCTCGCCACTGTGAACAGCGCCGTCTTCATTCACACCAAATATCACGAGAAGTCAAATTGTACCGAGAAACGGGAAAAGGACGAAGGTGACTTTTTGGGCAGGGAGGGCGGTCGTTCACCGCTCGAACATCGAGCCGCCGCATTCCACAACACCACAGCCGAGGACGCGTTTGCAGGCGCTCGCAATGGTCAAAAACGCAAATGCCGTCTTGAAGAATGGCGACGCGCGATTCGCATCGTGCTTGGCCGTTGTGCGCTCGGCTTCGAGACTCGATTTTCCTTCCGCACAGCTGTGCGCCGCGGCGGAGGGCCGGGCGCGCGCGTGTGTGCGTGCGTCTCCGCGAGCGTCACTCCGCCACAAAGTAGGAGCCCGATTTTTCTCAATGGTCACCATTTGACGTGGAGCCATTCCGTGTTGTGCGCAAGACGTCGACTGCAACTTGGAATTTGTTGAACACCTCCCGCCAACGTCAAACGCGCCCTGTCAACCCAGGAAATGTGCGGAAGCAAAGGCCAGGTGCAAAACAAACCGAGGTGGAATTCTGCCGCGTCCTCCCCTCCCCTCCCCCCGTCGCCAGCCAGCAAACGACCCCGAATCGCAGCGTGCGCGCGGGACAAGCAGTCCAAAGAAACCATCGCGACCGATTCCGACGCCTACCTTGTTTTTGCGCCGGAACCGGGATGGCGCCGAGTTTTTGGGTCGACGCGCCGGCGCTGGCGCTGGCGCACACTCCCCGTCCCTCCAAAAGAGCTTGCAGGGGTCGGCTCTCGCCCGGCTGTTGCTGGCAGGTCAAACCCGAGCCGCAGCGCGCCGTGTACACTCCGCACGCGCGCCCTCGGCCCAGGGCGCACGTCACGCAGCAGCCGCAGCCGGGCTCCCGCAGGCGCTCGGCGCAGTCCTTGGGCAGGGGCTTGCACTGCAGCAGCGCCACGGAGTCGCACGGCTCGCAGCGGACCAGCGGCCCCACGGCGGCGACGCCGCCGCTTCGCGCGAGCGCGGCCAGCGCGGCCGCCAGACAGAGCACGCGGAGCGCGGGCATGGTGTGCCGATGGCGATGGTCACGAGTGGACGCAGTCGGGGTTGGCTCTCGGTGACGCTGCCAGGCGGCGGGCCTTCTCCATCTGTAGTTTCTTTGACGCGGACTCCTCGTTTTATACAGCGGCGCAAAAGGCCAAGAAGTCACTCCCTCCCCCGTATGAATAATGTAAACGGAGAGTCCAGACATGAGGGACCGCCACATCCGCTAAGACGACAAGAGCCGCTCCCCCACTGACTCCTCGCATCCTCTCAACTGTACGAGGGGCCGCGTGCGTGCGTGCGCGACCTGTTCGGCTGCGCAATATGACCATTTGCAGTTAGCCGCGATGAGGTCTGGAGCAAATGAAATCATACGGCGCTGCCTTGTTTGACAAGTTCACTTCGTTCTGTGACACCACTTGAAACCCCAAAAAGTCGTAGCTCAAATCGTCACGCCCTATTGAAATGAATACTAATGCCATTAATCCGTTCCAGACTCACAAACAACGCCAACAAAACATTTTGCATATATATATATATATATATATATATATATATATACATATATATATATTTTTTTTTTAAATAAAAATATTTAAATAGCTCTACAGTGGGGGTGTCAAACTCATTTTTTGTCGCGGGCCACATTGTAATTGTTTTCCCTCAGAGGGCTCTTATGAGTCAAGTCAAAAGTCTGCAAAAGGTGGTCCCACCACCTGCTGGTATGGAGAGCAAGTGATAAGCATTGGTGATACCACCTTTGGTAGGCAATGCAAAAGGAACAACGTTCATGGCCTTGTGTGTTCTTCAAAGAATACATTAAAGATTTGTTTTTTTCCCCTCAACGCATAGTCGTCAAAGAAGTACTGTATTGCTTTACTGTTCAGAGTAGTCCAACGTGCGGTGCGTACCTGGCCCCGTTGTTCAAACATTAGCGTTTTCTTTTCCGGGACCTGCTGAACCGTCACCCCCAGCGGTGGGACCCCCTGCGTGCCAGTGGACCCCACAAGATTTGGACTTCTTAGAAAGGCAAGGTTCGGATTGTGCAGGCGTAGCATGCCCCCACCCCACTGCCCCTCGCCCCACATCCAGCATACCCTCCCGTTCTGCAATAACAAACGCCCGAGTTGGGTACACACTGAGAAAATAAAGCAATCAGTATCAGTCATTGTGTGATTTCCACCACAGAAGCAGAAAAGGTGTTGAGACTACATGATGAATAACAAGCAAAGTGTAAGGAAACACTGGCGGAATAGCAATAACATTTCTCGGGCTAAGATTACTTTTCTTATTACTTGACTCTCTGCAGTTTTGCGTGTATCTAATATTCAACTTCTGACCCTTTGGTTTGTTTTATTGTCGGCCTGTCCACCCCAAGGTTCGAGTTACATCGCCTTTCAACAAATTCAGCAAAACGCTGCCCCCCCTGCTGTGAATACAGTTGATGTGGTCATCCAAGTGGCAGAGTTGGAATTTAACGTGCAATTTTGCTCCCCCCCCCCCATCTTTGAAAATCAAAGAAAAACGATTCAGGCATAGAACGGTGCGTCGCCTTGACAAGTTACCGACGTTGGGAAAGTAGCCCCGACGCACCAGGTTGCTTGCGTCGCCGGCGTGTCGCGTATGTGATTCTGCCGTCGCTCAAAGCTATTTAACGACATCCCAGCTGCAGCTCACTGTAAAACAAAACACACGACAAAAAGAATGACACGCATGGCACGATTACGTGCTCGTGCTATGGTCCGTATAAAACCGCATGGACGCGCTAAGTGGAAATTAGCATCGCCTTTCGGAGTGATATTTCTTCACATAAGCGCCGTCGAAACACATACACGGGTAACATAACAACACCGAAAGGCAGCGATTCTTCCTCGATCAGTTCCAAACGAGTTTCATGAACAATGTCCAATTGCAACTTTATTCTCAATGGATTGTGATTATTCCATTGCATGCATGCATGGCAACACGCTGCCCCTAAGAGGCCAATGTCTGCGCACAGCAGAAAGAGTCAGTATTTTTTTACTTGCTATTATGTTAAAATATGATTTGACTTTCATGCTAATTTATTTTCTCGGTTTCCTTTCAAGTTAGATTCTTTTTATTTTATTTTTTTGTTATGCCAACACACATTTCCAAATGACATAGGCATGAAATACGATGGCGGAGGGCCCCAGTTATCCCAGAACATCCCGAGACTTTTGAAAATACATATAGCACGAGGGTATACATTCAAATAAACAAGATGAAACAACAAGGGAGATGTTTTTAATTCACGGTGTGAATGCGTGCAACGATGCACGGCATCAACGGTTTGCATGTAGCGGAATGTAAATGAAAGAGGCTTCAATTTCAATTGAAATTTCAAATGATTTCGCCCCATCCAATCAGTGTGTCGGAAATTCGGACAAATCACTTGTGGGAAAACAGTGGGTAAAATGCCGCATGTCTACCACGCGGCACATCCTCGATCCATCTGTGCCAAAATGTACGTTTCCAAGTGCTACTTAACTCGGCAAAGGCACCTTGCAGTTTGTCTTGTCCCTTTCAAGGAATCTCTTTCTCCAGTCTACACCGCTCTCTGTGACATTGCCACAATGTGGCACATTTGGGGCCGTAAATCACATATTTGGAAACAACAAAGTCTGATCAGCAACGCTGGCGCGACGCACGTTATAATTTGAGGTTTCTGGGAGCCGAACGAAGTTGAATGATTTATTTGTTTGCCTGAACTCTGGGTGAAAATGTTGCCGTCTTCACAGCGGCGCTCGGCGTATACCGTCGCCACTTGGCTCGCGCCGTCTTCTGCCTCTGACTTCATCGCGGAAAAATGGGCATTTTACATGTTATGCAACGCAAACCATGTTGACAGCCCAGTTACTGTTTATCCTTTGCCCAGTTTGAAGATTGTCAAGCAAATTGCAGCGTGGATGCTGTTTGTTTTTTTTTTTTTTGCAAATGTTTTTCTTTCTGTGGAGAACTTTGGGATCAATGAATGTTCTGTTCTTTATGTACTGTAGTTTCTATATACGAGGGCTTTGGTGGTGCGGGAGATGTCGAATGGTCCCCGAAAAATTGTGGAATAATGATAAAGATGCAGCGACTTCCTGACATCAGCCAGCCAGAATGTGATTATCTCCAGTGCAGTACGTTCCCCAACAAGAGCTATACTCTCTAAATAGATGTATGCGTTGCATTTGCATAAAATATATTGCTCAGTTTCTAAAACTGATCTTCATTTAATATGTTTATCACGGTGTTGTGGAGTTTGTGTTGCAATGTGCAGCTCAGCGTTAGTCCTATTGGATCTTAGTGCTGCGTTCGACACATTTAACTACTCCTCCAAAGATGAGAGAATGGGGGGGGGACTTTCTAACACCGCCTTAAGTGGTTTCAGTCCTATTTAGAAAACAGGGAGTATTTTGTGTCAATAGATCACTTTAAGTCCAAGCGGTCAGCAATCACATGCGGAGTTCCACAGGGCTCCATCCTCGTCTTATGTCTTTGTCAAGCACTTTGAATCCGGTTGCAGTTGTGTTGTGCTGTACAAATAAAGTTGCCGTGCCTTGCCCAGCCTTGAAAAGTCAGCTCGCACCAAATTCTCACGGCTGGCCCCATGCACAGCGGCGGGCGGCGAAATGAGCCGCTGACGGCAAACGGCTGCGAGATAAATTCATGATGCAGATTGTTCATCTTGTACGAGTATACAAGGTGGCAAATTGGACAAATGGATTGACGGATTAGTTGCCAAGCTGGCCTAACCCAAGCTGCAAGAATTCCCCAAAAAGTTTTCAGCCCAAAGATGACATTCATAAATGTTACATTCTTCACGCTAGTGACACTGTAGCGTTTTGTTGAGAGTGCACGCCTTTTCTCAGCAACTGTCCGACAAATCCGTCCGTAATTACGGTGGAAGGCAGATTGCCTACTTGCTTGTAATAGCATCCTGTCACTCAAGATAATGGTCGCCGGGTCATGTCTTTCCAACCGTACGCGCCTTTGCCATTGCTGTAAGAGCTCAGCCACCATTCTTGCCTGTTTGTGATCATCATAAATTGATGGAATCAACACGCGCATGCGTTGTCACTGTCACCCCGAAACCGTTCCAGAAACATCTGGCGCCAAGAGCAACGTCTGAAGAGAGAAAGGTGAAGAGCTGAGACTTTTCTCCCCCCGACCCCCAACCGAAAAATGTTCCCAAGCTGCAAATTTTTATTCGAGGCAGCTGCATGTGGGAGCAGAAAGGAGAGAAAGAGGTGAAGGTTTGACGACATTTCATAAAGTGTTTGTGGTGAAATGTGCGCAGTTTGTTTGGGCTGCAGTTAGATCTCCCCGGCGGATCTAGATGGGACGTCTGAATGCTACCCGGCAGAGACTCACTCTAATTGCTCCAAGAGGCACTCTGGCATCTCATATTGAGCTGCCTGCAGCCCAGCTCTGGCATACTTAGCAACATACCGAGGACAGATCGCAGTTATGTGCTTGCAGTCACTGGACGTCTTAGGTCAGCTGGCAGCAGTGCATAGCAGGTTGTGTGGGAGGTTTGAGAGGCAGGGGAAGGGGGGGGAGGGGGTCTGTGGGAAGAAGATTACAAGACAATCATGCTTCTCAGGTTGAGCAACTCAGGTGACACTTTCCTGAGCGCGAGCCAAGTCCCGGCTGCTAAGAGGATCAGTTTCCTGCACTGTGCCGCAACTCGCGGCCAGCTCGCAGCTCACCGTGCTGAGGTGACACCAGGCAGGCTGTTCATCAGGCGCAACTTCCCCCAAATGCACTCGCACACGTGCCAAGAGCAGCGCCGCTCTGGGGATCAGGGAGTGTTACTCAGCGCGTATCTAAGTCTGCTCTAAGAGGATTGACATCTTAACACTCACAAACGGGACCTTTTGCCCATAGGTTGGCATCAAGGAAAAGCCCACGCGTCTCCAAAAAGAGGAGAACTGAATTTACGTTTGTAGCATGGAGGTGCCGTTCGAAGTGGAATGGACATGAGCCGACATGAGGAAAATCAAGTGAGCCAAGTAGAGAGACATGGAAAGGTGTAGAAAAAAAACAGGCATCAGTCAATCTAATGGGAGGTCAATCAGACTTCACCTGGAGCTGAACACACTCCGAACTGTCGAGATGATCGTGGACTTCAGGAAACACCCTTTGGCCACAGATGCCCCTCGCACTATCCAACTGCCCCGTGTCAACCGTGGAGACCTTCCAGTTCCTGGGAATCACAGTCTCACAGGACATGAAGTGGGAGGCCAACATGAACCCCATCCTGAAAAAGGCCCAGCAGAGGATGTACTTCCTGAGGCTGCTGAGGAAGCACGGCCTGCCACGGGAGCCTCTGAGACAGTCCTACACAGCAGTCAGCAAATCAGTCCCGTGTTCCTCTGTCACAGTCTGGCTTGGGGCCGCCACTAAAAAAGGACAAAATCCGACTGCGATGGACAGGTAGGACTGTGGAAAAAAAATCATTGGTACCGCCCTACCCACTCTCGAGGACTTGCAAACCACTAGAACCAAGGCCAGA